AACAATGAAGGGGTGGATTACAGCTTGCGAGACAATGATCTTAGAAAGCACCTCACTGATAAGAAGAAGAAAGCCTCTCGGGAACCGGAAGATTCGTCCTACTCCCGAGAGTTCTCCAACTCCGACCTTAAGGCTCAGTCAAAGTATAAGCCCCTAACACCAGAAACTGTGATCACCAGGGAAGAGTTCGACCTGATGAAACACAGGTTCGATGAGCAGGTCGAGGCACTCAAAGCCAGGTGTGAGAAGAAGGAGAGCTCGTTTGACGATGGCGACTTGGGAGAATCGTCATTCACTTCGGATATTATGGAGGCTCCAATCCCTCCGAAGTTCAAGACTCCCACCATGAAGCCCTATGATAGGTCTAAGGACCCTAAAGACTATGTTGAGGTATTTGAAGGCCTCATGGACTTTCAAGCGGCAACGGATGCAATCAAGTGCCGCGCTTTCCAGATCGCGCTTACCGGCAGCGCGCGCCTGTGGTACCGGAGACTGCCGGCTAGGTCGATATCGACCTATTCTCAGTTGAGAAAGGAGTTCATCAACCAATTCTCTTCTCGGCATTACGATAGGAAAACAGCAACTCACCTCGCCACCATCAGACAGAAGGAAGGTGAGACGCTAAGAGAATATGTCACAAGGTTCAAGGAAAAGCAGCTGAAGGTCGCGCACTGCTCCGATGATTCGGCCATGTGCTACTTCCTCACCAGCCTGGCCGATGAGACCTTAACAGTAAAACTTGGAGAGGAGGCTCAAGCCACCTTCACCGAAGTATTGCAGAAGGCGAAAAAAGTCATTGATGGACAGGAGCTCCTCCGAACCAAAACTGGCTGACCTGAGAAGCGGATCGACCAGAAGAAATTGAACCAGGAGACGAGGAGGCCTGATGTCAAGTCCAAGGATAAGGGACCGTCCTCCTCCAGTAGCCGAATTGAGTATCGCAGGTCGAACGGTGGCCCCAACCGAAGCCAACCTTACGAACGTTATACCCTGACCACCATCCCAATCTCTGAAATACTTACAAACATTGAGGAGACTGGGATGGAAAAGCTCCTCAAGCGACCTGAGAAGCTCCGAGGAGATCCAGAAAAGCGCAACAGAGATAAGTATTGCCTTTTTCATCGGGATCACGGCCACAATACGTCAAGTTGCTGGGAGTTAAAACGCTAGATTGAAGACCTCATTCAAGACGGCTACTTCAAAAAATTCGTGGGCAAACCGAGGTCTAACTCGATCGAGAAGAAAGAAGAGAGGAAGCGTTCAAGAACGTCGCCTCGTCGGGATGACCGACTTGCGATCATCAACACTATTTTCGGAGGTCCGAGCGGGGGCCAGTCCAGAAACAAGAGGAAGAAGCTAGCTCGCGAGGCCAGGCTCGAGGTATGCATCATCAGGGAGCAGAAGCCCACTTGCTCCATCACTTTCGGCGATGCCGACATGGAGGGAGTACACTTGCCTCACAACGATGCACTGGTGATCGCCCCTCTGATTGATCACGTCCTGGTCCGAAGAGTATTGGTCGATGGAGGCGCATCTGCCAACATCTTGTCCCTCCCAACATATCTAGCATTAGGATGGACCAGGTCACAATTGAAGAAGAGTCCAACACCCTTGGTTGGATTCTCTGGAGAATCAGTCTCCCCAGAAGGGTGCATTGACCTGCCGGTAACTATCGGGTAAGATGCTACCCAAGTAACGCAGATGGCCGAGTTCGTGGTAATCGACGGTAGATCGGCCTACAACGCCATTTTTGGGAGACCTATTATCCATTCATTCTGGGCCGTCCCCTCCACATTGCATCAAGTCTTGAAGTACTCAACCCCTAATGGAGTGGACACGGTCCGAGGTGAACAAAAAACTTCAAGGGAGTGCTACGCGTCCGCGCTCAAAGGATCGTCGGTATGTGCCCTGGAAGAGCAAACCAGTGAAGACGACCTCCCGAGGAAAAGCAAAAGCCAGTTTTCTCTGCCAGCAGAGGAGCTCGAGCTTGTTCCCTTACTTAGCCCTGAAAAACAAGTAAGCATAAGAATCAAGCTGGACGCCACTGACAGGGAAGAACTGATCAACTTCCTCAGGTCTAACTCGGACGTCTTCGCATGGTCTCACGAGGACATGCCTGGCATCGACCCGAAGATCATGGTGCATCGCCTCAACATAGACCCATCATTCCGACCTGTAAAGCAAAAAAGAAGACCTGTAAATAAGGAGAGGAGTGATGTAATTGTTGAGGAAGTAAACAAACTTTTAAAAGCTGAATATATACGAGAAATTCTGTATCCCGAGTGGCTCTCTAATGTAGTATTAGTTAAAAAGTCCAACGGGAAGTGGAGAATGTGCGTGGACTTTACAAATCTAAATAAGGCATGCCCAAAAGATTGCTTCCCCCTTCCGAGGATCGACCAACTCGTGGATGCAACGGCCGGGCACGAGCTGCTCACCTTCATGGATGCCTACTCCGGATACAACCAAATTAAAATGCACTTGCCAGACCAAGATCATACCGCGTTCATAACAGACCAAGGTCTGTACTGCTACAAGGTGATGCCTTTTGGCCTAAAGAATGCAGGTGCGACCTACCAAAGGATGGTGAACAAAATGTTCGCCAAGCAGATCGGTCGGAATATGGAAGTGTATGTGGACGACATGCTTGTCAAGAGCAAGCAGTCAAAGTCGCATCTTTCCGATCTGACCGAAGCCTTTGGAGTGCTGCGCAAGTACCAAATAAAGCTCAATCCGACCAAGTGTGCCTTTGGAGTCTCCTCGGGAAAGTTCCTTGGTTTTATGGTAAATAACCGGGGGATCGAAGCTAACCCAGAGAAGATAAAGGCCGTGCTCGAGATGGAGGCGTCCAAGACTCTAAAACAGTTGCAGTGCCTCAATGGCAGGATTGCAGCCTTGAATAGGTTCGTGTCAAGATCAACGGACAAGTGCCTTCCTTTCTTCAAGGTCCTTAGGAAGAAAGGACCGTTTGAGTGGACAGTAGAATGTGAGCAAGCACTAGAGCAGTTAAAAGACTATCTCTGCTCGGCACCTCTACTCGCAAAACCATTGCCAGGAGAAAAACT